ACGAATCATTGGGAAACCTTACCCCATGCACCCTAAAGCCATGATATTTCCCCTTCATAATTCTTTTGCTTCCCAAACTCAAAGAACACTGGGAGAAGCACAACGGGTGTCATTCAAGGATGCCCAAACTACCATTTGGCACAAAACAGTGTACAATGGGAAAGGCTTACTTACCGAGATGGAGGCAAAGGCTTCAGAATGTGTAGACCTAGATGTAGGCTATATCAAGAAACAACAGCTTTAAATCTCGTATGTTTGTTTAGAAACGCTTTCTGTGATTTTGTAGCAATACTTTTTACTTACTTCATATGCATGAGTTTTACCATTGGACCCAGGTGGAAATGTAGAAAATCAGGAGACAAAACAAGTAGCTTGGGACTAGGCTCAGTAATGAGAAACGTGTAGTTACAGGAACTCTGAGTGCAGGTGCATGATGGCTAGTCCCAGAGAGTGGCTAGAATTAATATAGTGCTCACCACAATGTTCTGAATGGGGAAAACTGACCAGTTCCCTCATCAGGAATACCTGCACCATACCTGAGCAATATTTTTCCACTGTAAATGACATCAAGAGTCTGTGGTTTATGGAAAGGATCCCTGGGGGTGCAGTAGGTTTAGCATGGAAAGCTTATCCCAAGGTCAGCCATTCAAACGCACCATTGCTCTGCAAGATAAGGGTGAAGCTCTCTGTGCCACCAAAAGTATTTACAGTCTCAAAACCCATGTAGAGCAGTTCAACTCTGTCCTAGAAGGTTGCTATGAGTCAGATTCCACTCTTACCTCTATCTGCTCTGACTCTGGTGCCGTCCCTTTTTTATAGCACCCAACAATGACTGCATACTTTACCCTATCTCCCTACCACTACTCGCCACTGTTTCCCTGGCTGATCATCCCAAAGGCTCCATGCCAAATGCCAGGCAGTCCTCCAGAAGTGCCCAATGTGTGTTCAGGAATACTGTTCTCCTCAGTGATAGCCATTAATGTATGAATACCAGAACGATGTTTGTTTATGTTTTATTAGCTATGCAAAAGCATATGACTGTGTGTATCATATCAAATATGGAATCCGACCATAGTCAGACTCTGTTTGAAAAGACAGCTTTTCTTAGTAATAACAAACTGACAGATCATCCGTTCCCTAACAACTTAAAATGTCTTTCATTTATGCGACTTCATTTTGTCCAATCTAGCGAGTGAACTCTCTCTGAATGAATGTTTTTCTCACTGTGGGGATTTTCTGACAGTTGTGTGAGGCAAATGGTATGTAGGTCTCACTTTCTTCACAACTTCCCATCACTCTAAAACTGTCTCCTCCCATCAATGCCCAGTCCAAATGTGTTGCCATTTTGCAGTGATCTGAAAAAGCATCAATCAAGAATTAAAATCTGAAAGCTGCCCAGCAGATGGGAACTCCTCTTGGAGTCCCTTCTAAGTTTTTAATCCAGAGGGCCCTTGGTGAAAACACATGAAAACATAAAAAGTACATGTGGAAAAACCAACAGAGTGTATCAAATGTTTGAAAATATTACTTGACTACAGATATATTCTATTGCTATATATGAAATATAAATATCCTTTAGAATTTTTAATTTTATATTTATAAAGAATCATCCACGTTAGACCTTCATGAGACTTTAACACTCTTATGCAGCAAACTTACTGTCATCAAGTTGATCCTGATTCATAGTGACCCTTTAAAGGGTTTTGGAGACTGTAAATCTTTGGGGGAGCAGACAGACTCATCTTTCTCCCCAAGAGCAGCTGGTGAATTTGAACTGCCAATCATTCAATTACCAGCCCAAATGCCTCACTCACAGTATTACCAGACACTGGTACATGAAATGTGTTCAAAACAAGTTACCTTTCATTTTTATTATTTTCATTACTATTTATTACTGTTTATTATTGGGGTTTTTTTTGTTTGTTTTTTAATCAATTTATTGGGGTTCATACAATTCATCACAATACATAGATCAATTGTGTAAAGCACATCTATACATTTGTTGCCCTCATCATTCCCAAAATTCTCT